ATTTTCTACTCTTTTATCTTTAGTATTGCAATATGAACGTTACATTTCTATTTCATAGTCTACCCGAGAAAAAACGGAAATATTTAAATTGAATATACACATACATAATTCATGACTTTTATCATTAGTATACAAGTATCATCCAATGAAAAATATTTCTGGCAGATCTGATTAATGTAAAATGGTTGAGTATTCTTAATAGTAAATTCTGGACATAGGTTTCTTAATGTTGATCACTCGTTAGTGAGATATATTTGTAATCTGAGGGGAACTGATTCTCTCTAGTGGACTCCATCCTGTGTCATCTAGATTCATAGTCAGAGACGTTAACACTGGGCTATTCAGATCATCATTGACCTTCCGTATGACTCAAAAGTATCTACAACCATTTGTTTAATCATTAGTGACAAATTTCGAGTCACGTAAACTAGCGATTTTATTCATGGACGTATTCTGTCCTCCCAAAATATTTACTTTATTGGCTAATGAGTAAAAATGCTGATAGAGTCCACTAAACTACAGTTCAGAAATTTTTAATAATTAAGTGTAATAAACCTAAAAAAATTTGGGTCGGCTCTCAGCAGAGTTGTAGAATTACACTTTTGGAAAATAATAAGCACTGACGTAATAACGTACCAATAGCTCTCTGGCATATAATTATGTAATTTATACTCTACTAACCTTCATTTACCTTATCTTAATCAAACCAATCCTGTTGACAGAAGAAAATTAGTCCTCATATACATTGTGATAAGTTATACATTGGGTAATATATACGCAACTAAGTAACTAACTGAGTCAAGACAATTTCACATTGGGAATTATAATTATCAGTTAGCCAGCTCATTCATTTATTGCGCATTGTACAGCGTTATTAATTATTTGTCCATAAAAACATTTTCGATCCGAAAAGTAAAGAATAATTTTTAATTTATTTACTTGTTTTAAAAAACAACAAAAAAACGTGGAAAATTTCAATCTGTTCGTTAGATTTACTTTTTACTGTTCAACGATAATAAAAACATTGCAATACTGATAATTACCATGTACACACTTGTGACTAGCTTCGTGAGGAAATTCTCGGAGTTCTAGTGAGAAGCCGTGACAAGTGAAGCTAATCCGTGTCGGGGAGAGATAGATATCTACCTCAGTACAATAGAAGATGGTCACGCAATTTCGTAGATTGGTTGAGGTTAGATATTAACACCGTTGGACGCCGACTCTGTGGTCTGGGTTCGAATCTCGTTAGCGTGATCGTGGATGCGGACGGTCATCCAATGCCTCCAGGTTTTCAATGGTGGCCTAACATCAATCAATTCATGATCTCAATCAAAGTAAAAGAGGAATTAAAATGGCCAATGATTCTTTTAATGCATTAATATGGATTTGATAGTGGAATCGAAATTAAATAAACTATGCAAAACTGTGATCAGAATATTAAAAACAAAACCAATCACGTATAAGGTAACAGGTATTGTATTTTAGTGCAAAATTCTCTCATCCATTTGGTTAAATAAAGTTTTGGTATTCCTAACCCTAACCATCAACTGTAAATATACAACCGGGTCTATTATGAGATAGTGACTCACTGAAGACAATGGTAGATCATGGATGCGCACTGCTGAGGAATCGCACAATAGGACGAAACAGTCGTCCAGTGCTTCTAAGTTTTCCAACTTTAAATAAATGCTAGTATAAACATATTTTATCAGGTATCAACTTTCATAAACTAACTTCAAAACGTAGAACTCATGAGAAAAATGTAAAAAAAAGAACAACAAAATTAGATAGAAATTTGTTTTATACCATTTCATGAAGTTCTAACAAATTTCACTATTTATTATTATTATTATTGTTGACCTTGAAAAGTAATTTATTTTCCTACTATTTTTTCCGCTGACATAATTCTTATTTCAATCAAAAAAGAAAAGGAAAAAAAACTTTTTTCTTTTTATTTAAATAAATCCTTTTCAGCATTATACAATGGACCAATTATTATTATTATTATTATTATTATTATTATTTCCTTTTTATGTGTGTGTGGGATAAGAATCAACCGAAGATAGAATAGTAACTAGGCCAAAAGTTATCTGAACAGATAAATATCATATAGATTAAATTATATAGTAAATAAAAAGAGAAAAAAGAGAGAGAGAGAGAGAGGGAAAGAGGAGTGGAGGTAACCATATTGTAATATACATATATGACACAAGCATTCAAGGTTAGTAAAACAACAGAGAAGATGAAAGTAATATTTTTTTTATTTATTTTGGTACATTTTATATAAGTAAGAGATGAGAGACAAAAAGACAAATTATTTCTTTGGTTAGTTATCATTTCCTCTCAATAAATACGAATCAGTATGACCTAAACATTTGCTGCTTTTTTATGTTGCTATTAGGTTTGATTGTAAGATAAAATGGAATTATTGTTATTATTACTACCACCATAATTTTTTATTATTAAAGATTGATGAAATGAGTAGTGAACTAACTTAAAATGACAGTAATAAAGTCTTAAATGATCTTCTTTTATTATGGATGTATTGGCTGGTTTATTTATAGATTAACGAGTGTTGATATGTTGTATAGTTAAAAATAGTAGAACAGAAACAAAGGATCTAGTTAAGATGGTAGTTAAGGCTTGTTAACATGGTTTATCTCAAACCTCAACGAAACACTTAACGTCGAAATATATTGGGTGGATAGAATTGAAACACTAGAAGTTTAGACAACTATTACATAGGTCACTACTCATGGATCAATAAACTACAAATTAAGTTTCATGAACTGATAAAATTCAGACTAACATTGAAAACCTGGAAGCTCGGAATAGTCATTTCGTGATAGTATGGGACGGTTCAACATTAAGCAACCATGATTCCTTATGCTCTAACGCTTGATTTCTAGACTACTAACCGGTTGCTTAAAGGTGTTAATATCTAATTTGGCTAGTAAGTTAACTAGTATCTATTATTGTAGTCAGTTATTAATATTAAGTGAACGCTTGAAGGCATATATGTAAGAGTGCGAAGATGAATGCTCTTTGTTAGGTACCAACTTTATGCCATTTGGTCAACATTTACGGACATGGCCGTTTAGCCACACCGACTGTGGCTGATCATTTGTGTGACCAAGTTTTTTATAGTGATTAGTAATCAGTGTTATATTTGAGTAGAAGAATAAATTAGACCTTAGATTTGACTGATTTTTAACCAAATGTGATATTAGAGGTATCATAACTGAAGAGATATTAACTACATGTTATGTAATAGTCAATAGAAATCATAAAGAAACCAGGTGAAGTATTTATATCTATTTGTAAGTAAAATAGGAATAAAGACTAAAGTAGGCAGAAAGTATATTCTTTATGAAGAAGGCACTATTATAGCCGGAAAGAATAAGATATTTACGAATAATCCTAAGCCAGTCTCTAGTCGAAGTGAATGGAGAAAACTCTATATAGTATAAATTTGAAATTTATAACGTTGTGATGGTAACTAGCAACGGGAACGCTAATCCGATATCAATTGCTTCAAGCGTTAAAGTGTTGTCTATGCAGCTAGTGCCTAAAATCGTTACATAAACATATTTATAGAGTTTGAATAAGTTATTTGGATTAAATGCCCCTAAAAAAAAACTTGTTAGTTTTGAATTCGATTTTCAATGTGAACCATGGTATCCGGACACATATAAACTAACACGAATAAAGCCGCGCATACTGCATTTCACTATAATCCACAATTTCGATGTACCAAAAACGATCAGTATTGTACAAGAATAAATGAAATATATATTTCGTTTTGTGTGCACAGACATCATCCATGAACAGACCTATGTATTTTTCAAAAGTGAAAAAGATCATAAATGTTCTTCTTATGATTATGGTTCCTATGAAAAAGACAATGCAGTTCAAAAGTGAATAATATCGATAATTATTCGTCGCTTATTATGTTTGAAAACATTATTACTGTAGAAAGTATCTGAAGAGACATTTGTAAAAGTAGATTTTTGTACATTAAAAACATACTCTGATTAACAAAACACATAAAAATCTATCTCACCATCAAGTAATATTACAATATTACAATACATTTCAACCGACAATGTTAATGATAGGTGAATAGAAGTTGTTATTTCATCATGAACAATACAACCTGTCAGTAATATGCATTTCTCGATTAAAAACATGATTGTCGAGATGAAAGGTATGTGGTCGATATATCTAGAACCCGATGTGTATTTACACTTTGAAATTTGTGATTGTATTTCCAATGTGAAATATTCAGATTTTTGTACAGATGATTGGATATTAGATCAAAAGTAGTTAGTCTGAAGTATTTAAGTGAATGTATATTATGAATAAATGTCACATCAGATTCGACTTATGAAACTAGGTGATATACTTTATATTTGAACGCTTATGCATTGAATTCCCGACCCCACATATGTCTTTAAATAGTAAACTGAAATCATGAAATCCTGATGGAAACGTATTTCGGAAGTAAGCCTATGTAAAAAAGTGACTAATTTTAGGACTATGTAATCTAGGTATTGTAGAAGCTGTTAGCTACCGACTGGCGTGAAATAAATCTAATGCATGTGATGGCAATCGTATTTCACAATAATCGTGTAAGCTAGAGACATAACATATTACCTACAACAGTTTGATTTGTATGGGTTTGTATTCCCACATTATTAATGTCAGCGGATGTATTTGATTGCTCTCTATCAGGATACGTACTTTCTGAAAGGATATCTTTGATAATATCATTAAGCCACAAATTCAAGTATGGCTGTATTATTCCTGGTATCGGAAACATTCTGGGTTGAAGTGGGATTGAGAATATCTATACTCAGATGTAAGTACATCAAAATGATAAAAGAGGATAAAATGAATGACTTGAATTCTACTTCAACTCTCATTTGAACTTTAACAAACTGAATTCGAAAACAAAAACATAAATGAAATCAAATAAAATGTAATTCAATGGAACTTACGATGCAGGTTTTAATTGTCCCAATTTTCTAACTTTCACATCACAATATGTTACACGTGGAAATAAACCGCTAACTTCCCATTCACTACCGATTAATAATTCTTGAAATACATGTAAACCAAATAATGTATCATTTGTTCCAATAAAATGTTTCATAACATAAATTTGTCCAATATTATTTGCAATAAAAAATATACGTACAATTAGAAATAATAATGTAATACGTGTAGTCGGTGGTGGACCACCTAAACAACGTTGAAATATTCCCCGAGTACGTCGATAACGTTTTGATGCTTCAGAAATTTCTTCTAATGCAGCTACAAGACAACTAATAGCTTTATGTCTTACTTCTTTATCAGGTACAGCAGCTTCACGTGCATTTTTTAACAGAACAGGTACACGTTTTGACCAAACTCGCCATAATACATGCGGTACCCATGCCATCATAGCTTGTCCAGCTAATATAATTGCTACCCATTGATAATATGATATATGTCGTACTCTTAACATTTCAAAATCATCTTCTGGTATAGCTTCATTTGGTAAAAGAAAATAAGTATTTTGTACCCAGCAAATGTTTTCAGCATAATCTTCCCATGAACTTGTGAATTCTTGTGGTACCCAACAATGTAATGGTTTGCCTGGGAAATTAAAAAAAATACGCTAATAATAATAATACATAATTTAACAACGAAAGTAAACTATAATCTCAAAAGATTAGTAGAAATGTATATTGTACTAACGAACCAGTTTGATCTAAGTTAGAGACTATTGGATTCTGGCTCATAATTAAAAGCGCGATGACAACTAATTTGTATATATATATATATATATATATATATATATATATATATATATATATTACATTGGTTTTCAGGATAACCAGACACCATCCAGACTTTCACGTGACAACCCAAACAGTACAGCTCAATCCCGCTTCACAGAAGAACCAGACACCGTATAGGCTTTAACGCTACAATTTGAATAGTACAGCTCACTCCTGTGGCTCAACCACACAGGTATCAAGCACCCTGATGGACCATTCGCACCATTCATATACACTTTCACATCACATGTATAGTTATTCCAATCAATTGTGCACAGCACGAACAGACCAAAGTTGACCTATTCCGCTTACACAACAGTCAAACTCATTAATATTAGAAATGGCGACATGCCTTACAATAACCTAATGACGATGGCGCTTGAGAACACTGAAAAGCAACCACCAGTATGAATGAAATCGGTTAACCAGCAAGCCAATTTTGTGCATGAACAGTCATCAAAACTAACTCTTAAAATTGACAAACATGAGAACATAAAGAATAGGGACACTGATTTGAGAATTTTATAGGTAACTTCAACGTTCCTACTATTAAAGATCAATGAGCAAATATTCATCCATATGAATACAAAACATTCTTTGACCTTATTCTGAATCACTACTCTTAATCTTAACCCTGACTCCTAGTCCTAAATCCTAATCCTAACTTCCAACTTTAATTCATAACACTAATGCTTGTTAGACTTTTCTATTCACTTACATCAAACTTCACTCTTCCAATGCCATTTCAAGAGTAAATCACCATCAAATATCATTCTATTTCAATACATTAAGAAACTATAAAATGATTCATTCTATTTAAAGTAATATTCTAATTTCAATTTATGGTATGGTATTTCCGGAAAGAACATCAACTGAGTGGAATATATGTATATTTAACCACTGATAATCTCAATTAGAAAAAGAAATAGTTAACATAATTTGATGAATGTAAATCTAACTTTGTTCTTGTGAAAATAACAATGCGGAGACAAAAAAAATTCGATTAATAAATTTCCTTATGTTTTTTCTAATTTAAGCTATACAAACATACATTTCATACTTGTGAATATACTGTAGTCAGGTAGAGAAACAAAAAAAAGTAGATATGGATATTGGTACTTCAGCTGAAACTAGTGAATACAAGAAGACTTAATCTTTACATAAACCGAATCATGTATAAACTACAGATAGAAAAACTAGAGTTTAGATACTAAACATTCACTAGCTAAGAACATAATAAAATGTATATTATTATAATTTACAAGGTCTTAGATAAGATGGGTATATATGGAAACCTACAAAATATCTGAACAAATTAGAATGGTACATTTAATGGATAAACTTGCTCAAATACAAATTGATTGAACAAACTCTTTTTGTATGATATTTTTTAGAGTTCATAATTACTAACAAGAACATAGAATCGCTAAAACCACGTTGATAGATTCAGACTATCTTGTTAGGGTAATGTGTTGAGAGACATTGAGTGACGTGACTCGTAATCGGTAAGGCTGTATCAAAGCCATTCAATCATTATCTTGCCTCCAACATGAAGTTTTAGCATTCAATCCTCCATACTTATCTTTTTATTCTGTCTACTCGAAACATTCAGTATTTCCTTTTTTCACTAGCATATCTGCTGCGACAACTTTGTTGTTCATATTTATTAATTTCGTATCATCGCTCTAATGTGACAAGGAATTTTAGGATAATAAACATTTATTTCAGGCTCTATGTCGATTATGCCTAACTAACTGATGAAGTACTGAGTTCCTCTCTCACATTATTGTCAGGAATAAGCAATTTCAGAAAATAATTCACACAGAATTCTATTAATACCATATGTAATAATCTTGTCGGTAGATTATTATTTTTCTAAATTCATTTCATTAGCATATATCATAAGAGGAAATAAGCTATCGCAAAGCACAAACGATCTCACTCTCACACACACACAAACAAATGGTCTTTTCACCAACAAATTAAGTCAATAATGTTCCATAGTTACCAACACATAGTAGATCAATTTGTTTATTCATTGAACAGATCATGTCGGAACATTGACTCTATTTAATAAGGTAACTTTAAATAATAAATACAATTAGTTAAGGAATGAAAAAAGCAAAGATAAAAAACAAAACAAAAACAGTCTAGATACATAACACATTGTAACTAATCATCAAAGTTTTAACTGAAAACCAAAGGAAAAGATTAAGAGAAGCGGATCCGACAAACAATTTTAATTATTAATTAGTCAATTGAATCATTTTATATAATTTGCATAACTGACTAATCATTAGTTTAAAGTGTAGAGGATTATATCGCTTTTTTATTAAAATAAACCCAGTTATTATACATTTAATAGTTGAATGCATGAAGCTAAACCACCATGGAAAATCTGGAAGTACTGGAAGGTTGTTTCGTTTTATTATGGAACTTCTCAGCAGTGTGCATCCACGATTCCACAGGCGGAATTTGAAACCGGGAATCCCATACTAGGACGATAAGACCATCCAGTGTTTCCGGATTTTTCATGGTGGTCTAGCTTTCATTGACTCATGAATTTAACTACTAAATTACTAAAATCTCTACAAGACCCCCCTTCTGATATTTTGTTCATTTCATGAATTTGAAACTTTAACAGGCGAATCAATTTTAATGTTTTCAAAGTATCTGAGAGAAGTGATATACTTATCATTGATTAAGTTTATTAATTTTTAACTAACCAGCTTTAATAATTAATACCTAAGTGGAATTTTTAATACTGGATTTTGCAACAATAGACATAGGTAGATCTAAAATCCGTTAAGAGAACATCAGAATGGCATATAAAAGAAGTATGACAGAATAGATTGGATCTGAAGTAAAGTTAAGGAGTTAAATAGAATGGTTTATGAAATGTTAATATACTGAAACACTAGACTCTTATTATATATGATGTTGTGTACGTATATTACTCTACAAATATTCAAAATTGAACAATATGGAGTATCAGGCAAGAACGATTACACATAAAAGTATCTTTCATTTTACACTTTATGATATTTACTTTCTAATGATACTTATATTGCTATATTGTACCATTTATTCAGATTTACTCTAATTAATTATGTGTGTATGTGTGTTAGCCATATAGTGCACTCATACTCTTTTATAAAAAAGCTAATTCTCTATTATGAAGTTGATTGGTGGAAGACTCAACTTAAACCATGATGGTGACTAATATTATTTACATTATTGTGTAACATTCGGAGAAAAGTTTAACGATTATTTTAGCATTGATATGTCATGTTTTTACATATTATAAGAGTAAAACTAGTCAAAAACCTGTGAGGGTGACAATGTCTGTTAGTTAATCGCTACTATAAACTATTTTATAAAAGTTGCCCACAAATCCAATAGAGATATCACAAAGACGTGTCACAGTATCATTTATTGTGTGCTGAGGATTCTTTACAACAATTATAAGCAAAGATGGATGGTGGTCAGCAGTAGAATCCAGGACACTTGTTTCGTCCTATTTGGGATTCGTCAGCTGGATGTACCTGCATTTCAGAGTTAACGTTCAGTCCGGGACTCGAACCCAGTATTATTCACTTTAAACACCGTCGCGTCACCCACTTAGCTACTGAGTTCATATAGCAACTGGCTTGTGCAATGGAATGAAATTTTTATTCATTTTTCATTGTTTGTTCGAATCTTCCTATTGATGCTTAGGGCTACTAAGTGGATAACGCGATGGTGTTTGAAGCGAATGATTCTGGGTTTGAGATGCGGGTACATCCAGCTAACGAGTTCCAAATGGGACAAAACGCATATCCCGGATCTCGCAGCTAAACACCATCCATCTTATAATGCTTGTGAGTTAAGACAATATCGAGGCAATCAACACAGGATACACAAATGCTAATACGAAACTGATCAATTGCAGTCCTAAGCATCAACAGGAAGATTTAAAATACAATATGAAAGGTATCTACATTAATGGTTTATGTGGTACTGAATAGAATTAATACTATTAAGATTAGTCTAAGAGTTAATCTATTGAAAAGTATTGGAAATGTTATTTTCTTAACTTAGAACTGCAATCGATCAGTTTCTGTTGTTATACGTAAATTCTAAAAGTATACATTTGAAAAATAAATTTTTGCATGCATAAACTATTAATGAGAAGGTACTGGATTCTAATCTTACCATGAGTATTCACAATAGCATATAAGTATACACATGATTTTAAAAAATGTATCCAGGCTTTCACTGGTTTTCAATATCCAAATAAACAAAGAAAAACTAGTCTAATTTTTTTTCAGAAAATGCTAAAATTGCTTTTGGCATTTCACCAAACAATAATAATTGATTAATATCAGAAGGGGCTTTGTGGATATTATAGTAATTTCACTAGTTGAAATCATGAGTCGATTGAAGCTAGACCACCATGGAAAACCTGGAAGCACTGGACGGCCTTTCCGACTGGCTTCGAGATGTATATCCTGGAGTTCTAATGAGTAGCAGTGACCAGTGGAGTTCAACCATGTCTGTTGTGAGCTAGTAACTCACTGATAACAGTGGTGGATATGTCGATCAATTTCATGTATTAGTTGAAGCTGAACATTAACACCGTTGGATGCCACCCGGCTCAGTGGTCTAGTGGTTAAGTATTCGCGTGCGAAACTGACAGGACTTGGGCTAAAATCCTGGAAGGCGGAATCAAGGATGCGCACAATTGAGGAGTCGCATAATAGGACGAAATGGCCTTCCAATGGTTCCAGGTTTCCCATAGTAGTCTAGTTTCAAATAAATCATGATCTCAACTAT